TTTTCATGTGAGGTGGAATGGATTCTGGGGTGACTTCCCAGTTTTAATGAAGACGTTCACTCTGGGTCCCAAAATACAGGTTGTTAGCCAAATTTTATTTTAAAAATCTGGCAATTGTGCCTCCCAGTTACAAAACTTAAGTGGTGCTCTCTCTCAGTGGTTGCTCATCCAATGCAAGTGTAGAATCCAGCAGGGAATGATACTCTGAAAAAGCCCAACATGAGAAGAGATTCATTCAAACATTTCAGAAGCATCAACAGAACAGATCAATTAGAACAAGGCAGGATGGTAGTAAGTAATCAAAAAATTGGGGTTTTTTTGTGAATAAGAAAAGCTAACAGTTTAGTGGAAAAAATATTTAAATACTATGTATTCTGTTTTATCTTTGTAGGGAGGGTTGAAATACATAGGAAGGAAATGACTTGAAGATTTACTTCCAGGCTATTTTTCATTCCTCAGTTATCCTGGTGTTTCTATGAGTTCTGACTGGAGAGAATAGACCCATGAGATGACTTTTACTATTGGTAGTAGGCAAATGCAGCACAGAGTACCTGCTTCTGAAGTGCTGCAGGTTACAGCTGCTCTCAGAAGCGGCAGTTTCCATGCTGGGGTCAGCAGGGACCACACTGTGGGTGAGGGGCTTCTTGCCACATGTTTGGCACTGGGTTCCTCACTGAATACTAAAGGTATCTAATCTCGTAAGAGATGGCAAGCATAGTGAAATTGAAGGTAATATGGATATATTTCTAAATAATCTGTATATTCTTCCACTTTAGATCGAGGTCTTATAAAGCTGTTTGCAAAGAAACTACCCCCTTTTAATTAAAAAGTCTATCTAATATTTTTATTCACTAAAGATTCATCAAATTTCATTGATTTTGAGGATTGTGTAAAACAGTTGTTTTCATTGACATTGCTCCTTGAAAGTTTTTTTTGGCATACATATTTTCTCCTCTTGTTATTCATAATATGTTGGGCTGTGGAAGTCACTGAAAGATACAGAAATGAACAGCAATGAAGTATGCCCCAGGCATTGTATTTATCTTTGGGTCTCATAGAAAGGGATTTTATTAGTGCCAAAAAAAAGAATTTGAAATAGAAAAAAATAAGGCTAAGTAGAATAATTGGTTGCTATACCAATATAGTTGTGATCGTGTGTAAAATATTACCTTTTTTTGTATTAGAATGAGAAGAGAGGGAAAGAAAGTGGAAAAGAAAGATAATATCATGAGTCTTTCCTTCTTTCTTTGGAAAATCCAGAAAAGATAAAGTGGGACTGCTCCAAAAAGCCTTGGCTGCAAGTCTACTGTTAAGTCCCCCAAAGCCAGCTCTTCTCCAGGCCACTTCCCTTAGCCTCTCGTTTTCTTTCTTCTATGAGTATGGTTCATATATTAAATTAATGCTAAAAAAGATAAATATCCATTTTCCTTTAGAATTAGTCTTAGGATACAAATATCTCAACCACTTGAAGCTCACTGATTTTAACAACTGCAGGTCTGACTGTGACATAACTTCATGAAGACTTAAAGAGCTAGAGTGGAAATGAGGGCCAGATGATAACCCATCCATCATCCAGCAATTCCTATGTAGCAACAATTTTCTTTCCTTCCTCGCCTATCTGCATGGCATCATTCATTCTCTTTGGGGATTACATGCTGATTCTTTTACAGTTTATATAGAGTGGAGGAAGAAAATATTAATTGATTCTGTACAATGGTAATAATAATTTATTAAACAACAATTAACTCCAGTAGCAAGATACGGTTACTCTGTTCTTTCCTAGGTGTGAATAGCTCAACAAGAAGCTGGGGAGAGCTACACCAGGAATGGAAGCTGTTGCTGTGCTAGGTTATGACTTGTATAACTTCCTACAAACTACTTGAAAAGGAAATGCCACCTTTATCTTCTGTTAGAGATAGGTTTTCATAACAGCAGAAAATGCAGAAATTTTCCAAGACTCAACTGGGTGTAGTACTCAGGAACCTACAGCTGGTCCCACTGTGAGAAGGAGCTTGGACTAGAGACCTGTGGTTCTCTCCAGCCTTAATTAGCCTGTGATTCCATGGTTTTCACTCTCCTGAATCAAAAATAGGGAGGTTGTGCATATGTATATTGCAGATATGTATTATTTTCATTGCATTTACCAATGACATTTGACTTAGGAAACATCAAAAATTCCATTAGAGCATTGTCTGGGTGGATTATTCTATTCCATCATGTACTTTTTTTCCTGTGGCTTCACAGGAGAATTTGACTTGAGAGATCTACAAGATGCAGTAATGCTTCCTGTTTTTACATAGGTGTTTTTAAAAATAAACTGTGTTGGAATTGGCCATGTCTCGGTTTTGTTTACTTTTTTGGTCACTATATTATAATACATATGAGAAAGTGCATATGAGGGAGTTTTGCTCTCATTCAAATGACTTTTCTCATTTTGCTTCAAGTTATCATCATTATGAATGAAAAAGTGAAACCACAACTCTTCTGTAGACACATCCAGGTTTCTGTCGCGGGTAGTTGGTGAGCAATCAGCTGTATTGTGCTTGGTCTGTTTCTTACATTTCTGAGTCTTTTAGGTGTTATGATTGTAATATTTTTAATGTACTAATGGTTACAGACTGAGTTTTGAGGTGATCTATTTCACACTTATTCATGATGTTATTCTTTGGCTTCAAATAAAGAGTTATTGATTATCAGTTTCTTCAGGTAAATTTTTAAGACAAAAATTATTTTCAATTATCAACTCCACCTATTTTGCTAAGGAATTTAACATAGTCTGTGCTATTGATGTCAGCAAGAATAGGATTAAGGAGCAGGATTTAATTTACTTAGCTGCAACAGCAGTTGTCAGAAATAGCTCTGATTGTTAAATTACTTGTGGCAGAATTGTTTGTTTATGTCCCTAATATTCCTGTGGTGTATTTTTGAATCATTTAAGCTGACTTGCACATCTGAAAGATTAACATTTTACCAATATTCAGTTACTATATTTCATATTCTTGTTAGTGTAAGAGGCAGTTTAACTGAAAAATGGATGCTAATAAAATGCCTTTTTAGTAATTCATTTTGAAAACCATTTGACCTTAACTACAATGAAAGTAGACTGTAAAAATCATCATAGATTCCCTTCCTTGAACTTTTCATAATGCAGAAAAATGACTGAGGGAAAGAAGCAAGATCCAGTTACTGTACCCTGTTTGTACAGCTGTACTTCATTGAGTGGAGGCTTGTGTTACACACAGTTTGTGATAGGAAGTAAATGCTTTTAAAACAACTAAGGAGACAGGTCTTTAACCTCCACCTTTTCACATGCTTTGTTCACTCATTTAGCTTCTGTTGAGGTCTTGGGAAACATTTCAAATACAAATTATTATTGAGTACTGAAGCTCATCTGAATAATTCATCTCCTAGTGAGATCATTAGGCAGATGCATGAAGATGTTGTTGGGGTTTTTTTTGAGAGAGAAATCACTAATTCTTGAAAGAGTGGACATGTGTTCCTTCAGGAATATATACTTTTAAAGAAGAAAGAATTCTTAGATTGAGTGTTGTGTTTTGTGATATATGAAATTACATTTTTAATTCAGCAATTTTAAGGATTTTCAAGGACCTAGAGGATTTTTAAAAATTATATTGTCATGTAAATTACAAAAATGTCAAAATTAATTTGATTTATAATTCTCAGTTTCTAGCAAACTGTTACCTCCTGTAACAGGACTATCTAGTCCCCTGAAATTATGAAGACACTTTGAGATTAATTAAGAGGATATTTTTTGGCATTGCTTCACATTTCAAGTATATGTTAATCACCATACCTAAACTATTTGATGTAAGCTTGGCACCAGATAATTTCAGGACTTTAAATACACGTAAAATCATTCTGTGAATGTGCTTCTAATATCTGTCAAAAGTACTTTTCTAATTGCTGTGGTGATGAGTCAGTGGCAATGGGAGTGTGCAGCTGGCAGTCAGCCAGTAAACTTTTAATTTCTGTAATTAGCTGAGGGTTTGCATACACTTCATCCCTTGAAATACTTGTGGCCTTAAATTTAGGTTTATGCTAAATAAGCATTATTTGGGCTGCATTAAGCACCCACTTTCTCATGTTGCTGTAAACAAGGTCATTCTCATAGCTTGTAGCTATACTTCTGATGGCCATGAACATTTGTCTCTTATCCTCCCACTTAAGACTACCCAGATAGCAATATATGCTGCAGATCTTCACTTAATGAGAAAATGCATTGAAATACAATCAGGATTTTGAGGCATTCTTCACTGCAGTGTGTTAGAGGTGTCATGCCTTCAGAGCCTATGGCTGACACTCTGCCCTTATTCCAGCAACTTTTTTCAAATTGTAGCACAATAGAGCATCTGCTCTCCTTTGGCTGGGTCCAGAGTTCCCAGCAAGTGGCCATTTGTTTTCCCATTTGTCACTAGTGGGCAGGCAATGGCTGCGTTTTGTGGTCTGTGATACCAGTGGTCTTGAAGATTTACATGTTCCAGAAAAATGCAAGCATAACAACAGACACCAGTTATGTTGTTTAAATTTGAAACATAAGATTTTTTGAACGTTTTATGTCTTGCTCTAGTGTTCAAGTATAACTTCAGTAAACAGAGGCAGGCATGAAAGCATCCTCAGTCCTTGTCCCTCTGAACCCCCGTAACAGCTTCTACTGACTCAAGTTATCATGAATTAGCTCAGGCTTTCTGGATGTTTAACTCTCATCTCACACATCCTTCTGCTCTTCCAGCACTGATTTTAGTTCCTGCCACAGCCTCACCTTCCTCGTCATGAAAGTTACACTGACTTGTGTCTACTTACTGACGTTTAACCTACCCTACCCAACCAAACTCGGCTCTGAGCATTAGGTTTTATTACCTGCTCTACTATGGTAAAATAGCAAAGTGTAAGTTGGGAGTTAGTTGCTTTTAGCTTAAGAAAAAAAAGCCTTGGGAAACAAATGTTGCTCTATTCTTGAATGCCTAATTTCATTAGAAATTATGTGTTTTGCAGAGGTTAATATACTGTGGGCAGCGCACCAAATACATCATAGTTCTGAAGATTACAACTTATTCACAGCCTTGAGACAATCTCTACTGCAGAAATATACCTCCTGGGTAAGTTACATGAGATTTGACACAGAAATTAATATCAACAAAATTTAGTAAAAGTGAGAACTGTCTATTTCCCTTTGAAGGAAAATAGTAAGAGATTTGACACGGAAAGCACAGAAGTTGAAACTGAAGAATCTAAGGATCATAAGCTTTAAAAATCCGTTATTTATTTTTTACAGCAAACTTGAAAAGACATACAGTAGTTAAGGTGGCTAATTATAACTCTGCATTTGTATTTTCATAACTTTCTGAGTAAAAGCAGAAAATTATTTTCATTTGGTTATTCATGCATAAGTACAGGAAAAGATAAGAGTAAAACATAACTACTCTAAAATATGTCTGTGTAACTGAAAGGAGCAGGGAGAGAAGTCATTACTAAAGTTTGCTTTGGACATGTAAATATATTTATTTGTCTCTGCTCATTTGTGTCATGTGCCAGTACTCCAGTAAGTAAAGGGTAGCATGCCATTACCTTTACCTCGTGCTATTTCAGATATTATTTATTTTAAATGGTGACCTCTGTACATATCCAATATAATTGAGTACTCATTTACAGATTCTAAAATGTGTATTTCCAAATCTGTTCATAACGTATTATTTGATGTTTAATTTGGGACCCAGGGTAACTGATAATTTCCTCAAATGATCTCTCATGTTCCCTCTTGACTCTTATTTTTTAACTCAAGTTGTAGTTTGTTTGGTTGGGTTTTTTAAAAAGAATAACAACTTCAAATTTTGAATTTTTTGAATTAGAGTTCAAAAGCAATATTCAATGTATTTTTGTATATATAAAATATATAAATGCTCTTTTCCAATGAGGTATAATACTGGTACTAGAGGAAACCCACAGTGCTCTGGCAATCTCTACAACTAGCTTATGAGCAAATTACTGAAATCCCAGAGTATGTGTTCACCCAAATGCAAATCCAGTGTAAGTCTGTGACCTTGGAAATTGTGAAGCAGATACTATTTCCTCATTTTGTTTCTTAAAGTCTTCTCTGTAAATTCTTGTGATTTTTTTTTTTTATTCAGAAAATAGTGATCTGATGTTGGTAGGACTGCCTCAAATTTACATGGCCATAATGAACAATAGCGGAAGGGATGCATCTCTGTCACAACCCTGCTTCCTGTGTAAATACTACCTTGTTAAAGATTTAACCTTTGCACATTTACCCATTGAGACCATATGTGCAAATGCTTAACAAAAACAATAATTCAAAGAAGACAAAAAGACTGTGTACAGACGAGTGTGTGCATAAGCACTTTGCCTGACTACATGGTTTGGAGGATGATACCTCAGAGAGCATAAAATATTCAGGACTGTCAAGATGCCTTCTTAGATGCTAAAGACCATCCTCAGGACCACACTGGTATCACTTGGCAAATAATATATATACATTTAAGATTCACCTAAGAATCCATAATACATTTGTGTGCAGTGTTTTTCCACCAAATAGTTGGTATTAGCTGTGACATCTGGTTAATGTAAATATTGGTTTACCTCCTCCCAGAAATTTTAAGAGATGTTTTCTTTCTCCAAAGCCTTCACTGTGCATGAGCACAACGCTTGCTAATTCCAATTGCACTGCTATTTTTTTTTGACTTGTACAGAACCCTGTGGATGTATCTGCCTCAAAGCTGAAGCTCAGTAAAGCCTTTAGTTAATTTGAGAATGATCTGATGTTGCTGAGTGCGTATTGTTGAATGCAATTTGACATCCAGCCTCCAGTTTTATGGAGGTTGTGAGAAAGTTGTTGTGGGTGATGTGGGATTGTGGAACTGTTCTGCTGCCAGCTCTGTATGTGTTTTAAGTTAAATGTTGTAAGATAAATAAATCAGCATATTAATCTGTGTGGGTTGTGCCTGAGCTGATTGAAAAGATGTGAAATGAAAGAGAAAACCGTGCTTGAAGTACACAGTGTGAGATGTGCTCCTGAATTTGGAACCAAATGTGTATTTCTTTATGTTGTTTGCACACACGGTATTTCTGTTACTCCAGTGGGGCCATAAAGAAGCAGACCTACTGTTAAGACTGAGAGATGGTTTTGAAGCCTGTTTTCTGGAAAAAAAAGGTGTAGGAAAAATGTATATTATTTTTAAGAAGAAATCAGCAAGATAATGCTATATAAATTTTGTTTCTGATGAAACAGTTAAAGTGTAATTGTCAAAGGACAGAGTTACAGATACACTTTGAAAAGCTATGATTTAATCCTTTGAGTACCTCTTTTCAACCTTTCCTCCAAGGGCAAGATTTAATTGCAAATATTAGATATACAATAATTTGATAGGTTTAGACTATACATTTAGATAAACGGTTGAATTATGCCTTAAATAGCAGTGGAAATATCTATATATAAATCTGGAAAGGCAATAGGTAACACTGTTCTTTTCAGCACAGAGTCACAAAGTTCACTTTTTATCTACTGAGGAGTCTGCCAGGTCTGGGATCTGTAAGAGATGAGGACTTTTTTTTTTAATCCTTACCTTTAACTCCTGTGGAATCCTTACAGAAGTATAGCCCACATGAGGCAGCTGACAGCAGCTGCCCTGCTGTGCCCCACAGCCCCTCTGTGGCCTGCTGGCAAGACCCAGCAAGGAGACGGAGGGGCTCACAGCAGGAAACTCAGCCCTCCTGATAAACCTTAGGGGTTTTAGATTTTTTCTTTTTGGTAGTAAAAGCGTTTATGAGCTTTTACTGACAAATGAGAGGGAGAAAGGTAGAGCATGCCCACGTCTGAGAGAGTGCAGCAGACGCACCCTTGCAAGTGGCAGTGCCTTGAGGGTAAAGACACGGCTGCACCGCAGCAGCCGCAGGGAGTAATCCCTCTCCACCTCCTCGCTGGATGCCCATCAGGTTATCGGTTATTGTGGCGCTCTCTGCTGCCTAATCCACAAGTGGGAAAAGATCTGTGAGTGTGATAAACGTTTTTTTCTGCACTTGTGGCCAAAAATTTCATCTTGTAGCCAGGAAAGCTTTTCCTCCACAGATTAGAGAAAACTGGTACATTCCCATGAAATGTTTTGATTTAGTGAATTGACATTTCCAGTGAAAAAAAATATTTAATGATTTTATTTATTTTTTCTGACACTGATTTTCTTGTTTCAGTGGAACCACAAATAGGAGAAATCATATCTTTTGTATGGGAGAAGTTTTAATTCCCCCTGTGGGTTCTGTTTCTGTAAATGATCTTTGAAATCCTTTCTGTGCAAAATAAAGCTTACATTGCAAGGAAACATGAGGCAGTTAAGAAAGCATTCTCCTTTGTCAATGTCAAATTTACCTGTAGGTTTATATAAAATTTCCCTCACCTCATCACTTAACAGGGAAATCCTAGTACTCATTGAGAGAAGTGGGTTAGAAAATAAATATGAAGATGATCCTTCCTTCCCCTCTGAGTCATCTGTAAATACTACCAAATTGCCTCTGATACTTTTAGGGAAAAAGCATATAATTTTTAACCCTGCTTTCAGTCCTGAAACCACTTACATGAATAATCTGAAAGCCATCTGTTTGTCGTTGTGGTTTTTTTTTTTTTTTAATCAACTTCCTTTCCATTTCTTTTAAAAAATTTCCTGCTTTTATCATGCCATTAGACAGGTACAATCAATAAGAAAAAAATGCAGCAACTTTACTTAAATGTGGCCGTGTGTCCTACTCCTTTGTAAGATAACCATTGAGAAAAAACTTGCCAGTTTTTTCTTTTTTCTCAAAAAAAATCTCTCCAGTGGCATTTACCAGCTGCTACCTTAGGTAAGAGTTGCTGTGAATTTTTGTGAGTTTACTTAGACTGAGTGATTCTCAGAGACGTAATGTGCAAATTTCACCTTCCAAATATATTTTTCTTTCTTTTTTTGTTTTACAAATTTTATGCAAAGTCTTCAGCCTTTGAGGATCAGACTGATTAAAACAAAATAGCTCTTTATGTTATTTCCCGCCAGTTCCAGAAGCTCAGCATAATCCTTCTACCACCTTTGATCTCCTTTACTTCTTGGAAAAGAGTTTCTAAGACATTCAACCAGAAGTGCCCCACATGTAGTTTCTGGGACAGCTGTGCTCCATAAAGCTTTGAATTTTTGAATTCACAGCTGTCCCAGCCCTACCAGGTGATACTGCAGTGACTTAAGGGTTTCCTTCTAGTACTTCAGCCATTGCCTGGTGTCAAAGCTGACAGACTGAGCTGGGATTTTAGGGCCTTAGTCCTCCATAGGTTCATGATAGTGAGATATGGCTGTGGTGAATTTCTTGGGAGCATCAGTCACATCATGGGCATGGAGGTGCAGTTGTTTTACAGCCCCTGTGTGACATCTTACCTGTTGGGTAGGCTTTGTGACAAAAAATGGTGGAATATAAACATGAAATGATAGTCCATTTAATATCAGCATTAAATGATATTCCATTAAATGATATGTAATACTGAACTACACGAGAGGAATTTGTGGCTCAGATACCTATCATGGCTTTCAGATCAAAGATTTGATTTTTGTGAGAAGGACAAAAGGAAATTGAAAAGTGATTTTGCTAATTTTGCTGTGTTTCACAGGGAGCTCTTATCTGCTACCCAGATTTTCCCTGTGTGCTGAAGACTTTTAAAGTTTTGGAAATACCTCCACTATTGCTTGGTTTAGAAAAAGTCTCCCATGTATATTAATGCAGCCGGTGTAACACAATGTCAGGTAGAAGAAGGGGAGGGAAAAAAAAACCCCACAATTTTTCTGAAGAAAGCAGTCTGACTTCTAAAAGAAAAAGGTCTTGGAAGTTTTATTCTATTGCTCAGCCAGTTAAACAACTAATTGTGAAATTTCTGGGACTTTGTATGTGAGATACCAGCGTCTTTCCTAGGTAAGCAGTTTTCTGAAGCTGTTTTCATGGTAGCATATATTTAGAACTCAGCAATATATCGGGACATCAAGGCAAGTGCCGTGAGGAAGTTAGGGTGAGAATTTATAATTAACTTTGAAAGCCAAGTAAGCTGTCTTGCCCTTACGGTGCTCACATAGGGAGTTTGGATAGAAAGGCCCATAGTGTTATAAATTCACACCTTGCTTACTCTGTGATAGTTTTTCCCTGTAAGTGAACCCTTCATGTCCAGGTTACATTGCTGTCTACCCCATATAGTACACAGAATAAATATCTAATCCCAGGATTTCAGTGGGTTTTTTTCTTGATTTTTCTACTTATTCAGTATGACTTCTGGGGAAATCGCTTTTGCATCAATTTATGTCACATCTAATAGTAGCATAATATCTATCTACTGTCTACATTATGGAGGTATTAGAAGGAACAAATATTTTGTGCAGTGTTTTGAGTTGCTGAGATAGTACTTTGTTATATCATCACAAGTTTAGAATTATATATCTAACATATATTTTCTTTATAATTTTTCAGATTTTCAACTTGCCCATGGCTCTTTTCATTCCCCCTTCAGTGTTTGCTGTTCATCTACAGTTTAACCTACTTTACCAGTTTTGGATACATACAGAGGTAAACCAGGTTTTTAAACCATACCTAAACAGTTAGCCTGGAGCAGAGTCCTGGAAATCCACTAGCAGCTGATTTATTGTGTAAGAAAAATCTTTGTCTGACTTCTTTAAGGAGAAACATCTGTTCATTTTTATTCCTTTTTCTGAATATATATTGCTAAGTTTATAAGAAGCAATGAGACCAGTTGGTCCCAATTAGATTTAAAAAAAAATAACTGTAAGGAGTCAAAACTTTTTGCTATTTTAATACTATATTTTCCTATCTTGCAGCTTATTAAACATTTCTGGCAGATCTTGAAACTGATTTAATTTCTAAGATAAATATTTTAGGGAAAAATACCCAAAACCCAGGGCTTCTAAAAATAATTTAAAGTTGAAACAGATACTGTTTCCTTCTTAGTGCACGTAATTCTGAGATTAAAAATACTCTTTGATTATCTGCTGGCTATTTGCTTATGACTGTGCCTATTTTATTGTGCTTTGTGAGTGCATAGATCATATCTAGTTTACATATATATACCAGTAATAACCCACTGTAATTAGTAAGTAGTTTCCCACACTTCTCAGGTAGTTGAATGGCTTTCTGCCTCCTCTCTGGCACTACAGTAGTGGTGTTTAAAGGTATCCCATGTTATATGTCAGTAGCATATTTCTCAGTAACCCCTAGTGAGCTGCTGGCTAATTATCTCTCCAACACTTACTCCTTTGATTATTCTGAATATACAGATGCCTTCTTCCTTAGGTGGTTTCACTGTGCAATCTATAGGACAATTCTTTTGGAAGGCAATTTTATTTTCTTTTTCTGCTATTTTAAGTGATTGTGTTGGCTTAAATTACAGTTTTTATTTTCTCTGTTACCTGTGTTACCTTAAAACAAACAAACAAACAAACAAAAAACCCCAAAAAACCCCAAACTTCTGTTGTTGAAAGTTTTTGCAAAATAGCTGAAATTTTACTTTAAGCCTGTTCACGTCGTGTGGCAGATAGACACATCTGATGCTCTGCCACACCATATGAACAGGCTTACAATAAAATGTAATACACATCATCAGAACTGGCATAAACTTAAGATATTAAGCTTGTCAAAATGTTTTGAACAAATTTGAACACTCTGAATTTGTACCAGATGAATACTCTGAATCACATGGTGGCAAAGTTTCTTTGACCATGATTTTAGGTTGCCCAAACTGGTTTTACTGGATTTTGCCACTAAGAAAAATATAATATGCCTCATCTACATTGTCTTTGCTGTCAGAAGCCATTTCTTCCTTGTCTGAGAGGTTTCTAATGCTCTGCTGAGCTGCAGTAACTCATTGAGTCTCAGCACTGGTGCCACAGTGTGCGTCTAAAGTTTCTAAAGTGAATTTCAGAGGCTTATGTATCGCCTACATCCCTCTAAAGCACTAAATCCTTCATAGGACTTAAAAGGAATTTCCATAGCATATGTGCAATGTGCCAGGTTTAGACACTAGTCTAAGCAAGAATGAATTTCAGTCTCAATGAAAAGATAAGCACTCCTTTATTATTAAATTATTGTGCCAGTGGAAAAACAATAGATCTTTTGTACTGATGCAGTTTATCCAACCATAGATCTTTGTTTACAAGGAAAGCTATTCTTAATGTTGATACTGTTGATTTTGTAGTGCAGCTGAGTAAAGTTGAAATATGTTGAAGTCATGCTTAAAGGTCAAAAATTATGTCAAAATAGAAATAGGGTTACACCACATATTAGCAGATTTCCTGCTCTCAAGGGCAAAGGTGTAACGGAATCTTGTCTCAGTAACTGCTGCTACCTCTTGCTCTGAGAACTGAGATTCATCATCCTCCAGCACCTCTGGTGTCCTCTGGGAGCCTGTGGTAGATGCAGGGTGGCAGCATATGTCATTAGGGGTCTAGGAGTTACACTTCATTATTTCTGTTCTGCCAGTGAAAGATATAATAGTTTGCTTCTAAAATGCAGAAGAATTTTATATGAAAAAGTTTTTCCTCATTTTTTATATTGCTTTTAATCAGTATTGATGTTTCCTTAGACAGGATTTGGCACCATATTGACTAGTCAAGTATGTATGAAAATTGTAACTTCACAACTTTTGATTATACATCTTTCTCCTTGTTGTGATTTAACCCCATCCGGCAACTAACCAACACCACACAGCCACTTGCTTACTTCCCGCTGTTGGGATGGGGGAGAAAATCGGAAGATTAAAATTGAGAAAAATTGTGGGTTGACATAAAGACAGTTTAATAGGTGAAGCAAAAGCCACACATGTAATCAAAGCAAAATAAGGAATTCATTCACAGCTTCCTCTCCACAGGCAGGGGTTCAGCCCTCTCCAGGAAAGCAGGGCTCCATTTTTTATATTGCTTTTAATCAGTATTGATGTTTCCTTAGACAGGATTTGGCACCATATTGACTAGTCAAGTATGTATGAAAATTGTAACTTCACAACTTTTGATTATACATCTTTCTCCTTGTTGTGATTTAACCCCATCCGGCAACTAACCAACACCACACAGCCACTTGCTTACTTCCCGCTGTTGGGATGGGGGAGAAAATCGGAAGATTAAAATTGAGAAAAATTGTGGGTTGACATAAAGACAGTTTAATAGGTGAAGCAAAAGCCACACATGTAATCAAAGCAAAATAAGGAATTCATTCACAGCTTCCTCTCCACAGGCAGGTGTTCAGCCATCTCCAGGAAAGCAGGGCTCCATCATGTGTAACAGCTACTTGGGAAGAAAAATGCCATAACTCCTATTGTCCCCTCCTTCCTCCTCCAGCTTTACATACTGCACATGACATCATGTGGTATGGAATATCTTCTTGATCAGCTGTCCCAGCTGTGTCCCCTCCCAGCTTCTTGTGCACCCCCAGCCTACTTGATGGTGGGGTGGTGTGAGGAGCACAAAAAGCTTTGACTCTGAAAGTGCTACTCAGGAGAAGAAAAGGCCTTGTCCCTGTGTAAGCACTGCTGAGCAATAGCTAAAGCATCCTTGTGATATCAACACTGCTTTTAGCACAAATCCAAAACATAGCCTCATACTAGCTACTATGAAGAAAATTAATTCTGTCCCAGCCAAAACCAGCACACTCCTTCAGAAAATGTAGTAAGACACAGGAAAAAAAATTTCCTTTAATAGGTGATTTTTATTCATAGTACTGAAAATCTTAGTAAAGAATATGCACAACTTAGTTGTTGTATAAAAGAAAACTATATGATATTGAAGTAATAGGAAAGAGCAAAAGTATGTGAATGTTTCTGAGGGTAGATGTTTTGGGAGTAATTTAAATTAAATTAAGTAATTACAAGAGAATGATCATACTGTGCTGAAACTTCCTATGCCATGTTTCAGCCTACAGCAGTTTATAGCCAAAATATTATCCCTGATATTTTCCTATACTTTATATTTTAATATGTCCAGTGCTGTTACAAGCAATGCTTAGAAAAGTTTCCTGTGTTAAAACTTTGATCTTCTTCAGTATTTGTTACGTCAGTTTTTGTCAGCTTTCCTACTAGCAGATCAGACATGGTCCATTTTATTTTAACTCAAGTGGCTCATATATTCCTGCCAAGACAGTATACCAAATCATAAAGATCAGAAGCACCCTTTCATTCTATCTCAGTTAGATTTCTTTATTTCCTGCCTACTTGATATATATTAGCTTTTGGCCTTTTATATAAAATAGTACAGCATTTTAAACGCCACAAATCTTATATAAAAATTATACTATATAATTCTTTTGGTGCCAGAGATCTTTTATTATTACTAAAATCAGAATGGGCTACTGATACAGGAGAGGCATTTCTGTAATTGAGAAGGGTTAGATGTGCTAAAGTGAAATCACAACTTTGTGATTTCAGTTGTGCATTTGCGTTTAACTATACTTTCCCATTACAATAATTTTTGGTGTCTGAAGTCCACCTTTTCTTCACTGCTTCCCTGCGTTATTGCACTGTGTACACAGCAATCTGAAAGATCACAGATTTTCCAAAGATTTTTTTTTTTTAAATCTGAGTAGCACCGAAGTATTGAAATAAACTCTTTATTTAAATGAAAAATTAAAAAAAGAAAAGAAACAAACACAGAAAAATCAAAACCTCAGCCCAAAAACAACTGAAGAAAACACTTTTCTGTGATCGTGCATAAACATAGAATCTCAGTAAATCAAGAGAAAACTATTTTTGTTCCTCTCCAATACTGTTTAGCTCAGCAGAATGACTCAGTAGATCTGCTCTTACATGGTCTGAAGGAAATGTTTCTATGATTAGACCATTCTCATCTAGACTATAGGGGGAGTAAAAAAAAAAAACCAAACAAACCCAACCAAAAAACCTTGGTGTAAGAGCACTAAAAATCTAATTTTTCAAAAGCCACAAAATGTTTCAGGACTGTTACTGACAGACAGAAATACTCCATTACAGTTTATTTTCACAGGTGATTCAGAAGGTCTATGGCTCATATTAAACTATATCCTTCCGTTATGCATTTATTACAAGCAATAAGTTAGGTGTGTTTATAACCTGATAGACACCTGTGAAAAACAGAAATTAGTTTCTGTTGGCTTAGCTGTAATTTTTATGAGATGTCGAATTGTATTTGGAAAGTATCAACTGAATCAATGCCTGTTGGTAGTAATTGCAGCAGCAGATTATTCCTTGCCTGTTTGATCTTTGACATGCACTAGTTTCTGTTTAATTTTCTAACTTAAGGAAAGACTATAATCTGCCCTTTACCATACTCACGGAAGTTGGATTCCTTAAGGCATCTCTTTTTCCCTTGTTTAAATCTTTCTACCTCATCAAACTCTGGGAGCAGAAAAAGGTGAGCCACTACTATTAACCAGGAGTAACATGGGTGAAAACAGGCAAGGAATGGGAAAAAAAGATTGGCAGCACCTCATGCAGGCTGGAAAGAGCGATGTGAAATTGCTACAGATACAGGCCAAAATACATTTGTTTTTGTCAAAAAAACACCAGTTCAGTAAAACTGAAAATTACT